CGAGGGGAAGATTTCCCCGACGAGAGCAAAGTGGGCGTAGTCGAGCATCGCTTAAAATGTTCCAAAAGTGGTCCAGGGGCCAAGCCCCCTAAAAGTTTTGACAATCTAAGAGTTTCAAAGGCTTTTTTATTCGATTTTAGAGTCTACTAATCTGTAGAAAATATAATATAAATTGTGTTTTTCTACACGACGAATTATGGATTATCTCCCCGGCGGGGGCCCTGGTTACCGTATGTATTCTTATAGCGCCTTCCACTACGGTACTCAGTCTAAACCAACACCACGGATCACTTACTTTCTTAATCTGACGTTCGTCTCTATGTTCTGGTAGGTTTGTTAAATATAGCTGTAATTCTAATGCTATCTGAAACATTGAGGACAAATCAATTCCAGTTAAAATTCACCTTAACCATAATGTCAGGACAATTATCAGGCTATATAGAATGTCAAATTAAAGGTATTTTCATGTTCCACCGGAAAAGAAAATCAATTCGACTTAAGGTCCATTTATTTAGACCAATTACTTTAAAAAAAAAAAACCCGACGATGTTATTTTAGATTATGGATTGCTCTTTGTGCTTATGCGCATGCGCTCAGAAAAGTGCGTATATTTTCAGAAGGAAATAAATTACGTGCAGGAGAGCCAATCACAGGATGGAGGGCTTATTTTACAACCGGTGCATATTTTGAATAAGTGAATATGTAAATCATGTTACGCGCTGGACAGCCAATCATAGTAGAAGTGCTCATGCGTACCAATTTTCAATAAACTTGAAAGAAGTTGACATTTACAAAAGAATATATCAAAATTTGACATATTCTTTGTAAATATTAACTCTTTAATTGACATTCTCTGTAAATATTGGCGCAACAGGAAAACATAAATTCTGTATCAATAGCCGAGCAATATTTCTTTTAAATTGTGTCCAGACTATTACATTTTATCTGGAAAAAAATGTGACGTGCCTAAATATGGTCATGATGACATCACATCATGACCATATATAGGCATATATTAAACATAATGACAGGGGTTTAGTTAATAAGTTATTCTTTAATTCCTTAAGTTCTATTTAGTACACGGTAAGTCAATTCAATTTTCAATTTGCAATTTGTCATGGATCACAGTATGAGAATATTGATTGACAATTATACATAATTAGAACAAGTGAACAATCACAGTTTTTTACTACATGCATTCATTTTGTCATTCCTATTCCCAAGTAACAGGATACTATGACAAATTGCAATTATTCATGTCAATAAAATATGCAATTATAATCACTAAAATACCATGTACTACTTATTGTAAATTGACTTTCTGTCTGTCTTGTTAGTCAATTAATTCAAATATAACAATAACTTTGACTAACATTTTATAAATTGAAGTTGTACTTGTCTGTATAGCAGCTTGGAAAGTGTTACTATTGGGGATTTGGTATCAAATTTAAACTAGAAGTATAACAAATGCATCCATGCATTGTGCATCAATAGAAAAGAACCAACTTATATTGCCCTAGAGAGGGTGCTATACTATTATGCCGTTTGCAAAATACTAATTTAGTTCAACCTATGAGTTATTGATCAGATCCTGGTCGTAAGATCCTAGTATGTATTAAAATCTAGATTCTCAAATGTAACAGTGTATTTATTATAATTTATACAACAGTGTACATTCAAAATGTTAATGATAATTCATACCGTTTTGATCAAATATGAATTATGGTTGAGAGTTAAATGTTATTGTACTATATATTTTACTATCATTGTCTCTGTCTCTTATACACATCTAGATGTGTATAAGAGACAGCCAATGCCCTCGACGAGGGGCAGATTTTCCCCGACGAGAGCAAAGTGGGCGTAGTCAAGCATCGCTTAAAATGTTCCGAAAGTGGTCCAGGGGCGAAGCCCCCTAAAAGTTTTGACAATTTAAGAGTTTCAAAGGCTTATTTAAACGATTTTTCTACTAATATGTAGAAAATATAATATAAATTGTGTTTTTCTACACGACGAATTATGGATTATCTCCCCGGCGGGGGCCCTGGTTACCGTATGTATCCTTATAGCGCCTTCCACTACGGTACTCAGTCTAAACCAACACCACGGATCACTTACTTTCTTAATCTGATGTTCGTCTCTATGTTCTGGTAGGTTTGTTAAATATAGCTGTAATTCTAATGCTATCTGAAACATTGAGGACAAATCAATTACAGTTAAAATTCACCTTAAGCATAATGTAAGGACAATTATCAGGCTATATAGATTGTCAAATTAAAGGTATTTTCATGTTCCACCGGAAAAGAAAATCAATTCGACTTACATAAGGTCCATTTATTTAGACCAATTACTTAAAAAAAAACCCACGATGCTATTTTAGATTATGGCTTGCTCTTTGTGCTTATGCGTATATTCAGAAGGAAATAAATTACGTGCAGGAGAGCCAATTACAGGGTGGAGGGCTTATTTTACAACCGGTGCATATTTTGAATAAGTGAATATGTAGGCCTAAATCATGTTACGCGCTGGACAGCCAATCATAGTAGAAGTGCTCATGCGTACCAATTTTCAATAAACTTGAAAGAAGTTGACATTTACAAAAGAATATATCAAAATTTGACATATTCTTTGTAAATATTAACTCTTTAATTGACATTCTCTGTAAATATTGGCGCAACAGGAAAACATAAATTCTGTATCAATAGCCGAGCAATATTTCTTTTAAATTGTGTCCAGACTATTACATTTTATCTGGAAATGGAAAAAAATGTGACGTGCCTAAATATGTTCATGATGACATCACATCATGACCATATATAGGCATATGACTATATATGGGCATATCATGGCTATATATGGGCATACAACAGTTTTTTGTGAAAGGAAATATTTTAGTGTGGACAGAGAATAACACCAGCTGACATTTATTATGTATTTGGAAAATAAAGACGAAATACGATAAAACGTATGCAACTCTGTGTAGGCGTGTAATTTGTCATGTTAGACAAACAATTACAAAGAGTGTCAACAATTTAATGTCTAAATGTGTCATGAGTCAATTCTTATGATAATGTACTTGTTTTATTCATTAGGCCTACCGTAGGTATATTATGCTTTCCTTAACACCTGTTTCAACACTGCGGATGATAACAGTGTTTAAATTTTCAGCATCTAAACATGGTGATGCTAAAATGTGTAGGCTATTTTTATTTTCTGATATTCTTGATAAGCCATATGTCATTTTATTTTCAATACATTTAACCATAACTGTTAGTATACATTATTTTTTGGCCTAGATATAATTGTCTACCATGATGTACGTTAAAATTCAAAATATATTAATTTCTAGATAGAAAATTAGTAGTTTAGACTTATTTTTATCTTTTATACCAGTTTATTATACAAGCAGGCCTAAAAGATTACCATAAGCTAGGCCTATATTGAATTTAGTTCAGTTAACAGACACTAAGGATCTTTAAGGAGTGTGAATCAAACTTGACAACAGGCCAATCAGAACAGAGCCAGGGATACGCGTATGTCCCAAAACACAATTTGACCTACGTTTACGCTGTCGTTCTGTGGGACGTGGGACCTTAGTAACAATATCCAAGGAGCGCGACTTAGCGGAACGGTTCTTCCAATGACGAAGCATGACAAAAAAAAAAAACAACTTACACTGCTTTTAAAGTTTGCCAATCTGATAGTCTGCAAGCTGGTAATAAATGTATCACTCTTGTTACTTTCTCCGCCATTGGCGCCAGAATGTCGTCTTCCCTTCTTTTTCGTATTGAAATACCTGCCAGACAGACGGTAATCGAAATTATATCCAATGTAGTAGTAGATCAACAACAGGTTATGTTTCTTTAATAGACAGTTACAGTCGCATCTTGAGTTTTAAAAATATCCAAAATGACTTACTTTTTCCTAATCCTGAACGCTCTTGTTAAGATGACGACCAAGCAGATGGCGCAGCGGAAACGAAAAAATGCTCTCCGGTGCTACAAAATGTACAGTTTTATATTAATAGACTGCAAATTAATGATATAAATCAAATAAATAAACTAATGTTTATATGATGAGATATGAATTGGCGGAATTTTTGAGATATCGGGTAGAAATTCACCCTCTTTCGGACGCACTTGAGTTAAAGTGCATTCACACCAAATCCGAATTTTTGTATCGGAAATCAGAAGCGCTCAGAAAATCGAATCATTGTGTAAATATAGGGACGCTGCAGCGTTCAGCGCTTCGGAAACGCGGTCCAAAATTCGGTTCGAATCTGATGTGAACGCAGCTTTAATTCACACCGAATCGGAATTCGGTTCGTATGGCTAACGTAACCAAAAAAAGAAAATCGAATCAGTGGTAAAGAATAGAGGCGCGTAGTAGGAAACATTCTACGAATTTCGTTTTGGATCGGGTGTGAATGCAGCTTAAGTCCGGTAAAAATAGTAATTTGCACATCCAACCAAATTTGTTGTGATTACAGCTAAATATAATACTCCCTGACTGCCCCCGACAAGGATGATTTTTTTTACACCCGAGTGCCTAATGTGCTCCTTTCTAGGATTCCATTGGACAATTAGTTAAACACCTGTCGGCAAATATCTTGAGCTACCACTTGGGTTTAAACACTCCAATCCCTAGGCCTCATTATTCCATCCTGTAGGCCTAATGTTTGAGTGAAATTTCAGTGAATGTGTATATTTTTTAAAAATAAATAAACCTATGAATGTTTTTTTTTTACCTTTCGTTCCTTGCTGCGTATGCGTTTGAACGTGTCAGGTGTTATTGAAGTAAATTCCTGAAATATAGAAAAGGATAATTTTTTTAATGCAGGTGTTCTCTAGTAGGCCCTTTCAAAACACATTGGCTATGAGATGGTATTCAGCCCGCAGATACAGTTTGTATTTAGCCAAAAGCTAGCTGGCTTAAGACTTGAATTAAATCACCTGCCTTACAGAATATTGGATTAGTTACATTTGTGGGAATAAAAATACACTAGATACGCCATGAAATTGACATCATAGTAAATGGTAGCTAGGTCAAGATAGTGACGATGCCTCAGGAGTGCCAAAATGATGATGAGAATTCCCGAAATTAATATATTTTCTACCTTCCATCAACCCCAATGAAACAAACGTAAAGTTACTAAAGTAATCTTTTAAGAACAATCTATGATTTAAAGTCTAGATATTTACAGATGCGTAAATATTGTGATTTAGTTATTTACATGATGTTGCTTAGCAACCTCAAAATGTTATTTTGGTTCTTTGTTGCGTTTTTTTTTGTACGCATAAGGCTTGATAATTTAGCTTTCAACATTACAGTACTAGTTACAGGACTAAAATTGGAGTATTTATTTTTTATGAAATTTTTGAATACAGTGGAAATGTATAGACCTAACACTCGGCAACTAAAATTCTACATATTTTATACAGTATATTGTAACGTACACCGCGAAACATTCAATGATGTAAATATAATAATTAGAACGAATATGTTATTGGCATAGTAGGTCTATTTGACTTTAAACATTAAAAGTTGATAATTTAGAGGCTGGTTTTTGACATTTGAAAGAAAAAGGAATTTAACATTTCATATTTTCACCCGTACGTTTAATTTCATTTCATTTATTTTGCCGAAAACAATTACAATATAAAAAGATAAAGCAGTCGGAAAGACTATATAAAAAAAAAATCATCGGGACTCTATGATATTCATTTTGGTATCCCTCAAGGATCTTTACTTGGACCGGTACTTTTCAGTCTCTTCATAAATATTTTTTGCAGTATCAATCATCAAAGAAAGGAAAATACAGTGTTCGGATAAAGGACATGATAATACATTCAAAGTTCAATTTATTTTCCATACAACATAAACAAAATTGATACATATAAATGTAAATATAAATATGAATATAATTATAAATACATCGTGTAGCATCTTGATTATATTATATGCAATTTACCTTTCTTTGATGATTTATATATATATATATACGTATATATATATACATAAATCATCAAAGATATATATACATGTATATATACGTATATATATATATACATAAATCATCAAAGAAAGGTAAATACAGTGTTCGAATAAAGGACATAATAATACATCGTTTGTATTGGCAGTTAGCAACGAATGTAGTCCTGTAAATAAATGAATAAAGAAATTGTGTAATAAAATGCCTCTGGCGGGACTCGAACCTGCGACCTCCCGCTGTCAAGGCGAGCGTCATAACCATTAGACCACGGAGGCTTCAATGGTTAAACAGATTCAAATACCACCAGATACACTCCATTACACAATAAGTACGGCTAGAAACAAATAATAGCATACACTGAAATATAAATCAAGGTAGCCGTTAACACTGTTAAATTATATACATAATACAATATATAATATACATAATATAATAATACATATATAATATACATAATACAATATATATATATATATATATATATATATATTTTATGCAAACATTTAACATTAACGTTATGATATGATAAGAAAACCAACCTGAGCTAGAAGAATAATCATCAAACATCATCATGTAGGATATGTGTTATATTCCTTCATATGAATCGGACCAACTGATAAAGTGTGGGCTTAAGTATACACAGCACAATATATATATATATATATATATATCCTTCAATTTCCAACTAAACACAGCTTTGAATCTTCCAAAATCGAAAAAGTTTTGTCGCTTGCAATTTTCCTACTTAACCATCAAATAATATACTGTAAGTGGATCGAAGATATAGTGCATCTTTTATTGAACTTCCCGTATAGTAAAACGAAATTCGCAGGCATGTATTAAAACAAAACAAACCATAAGCAAATGGCTTACGGAGACTAAAACATCCGATGACCAAGACCTATAGGCCTACCGAAAAGTAAGTAGTTTCTGATGTATAAGATACACGTTAGGCGTTGATGACACCGTTTCGAATAATAGTTGAAATAAGGTTCAATGGCGATGTTATATTGATGGCGTTACAACAGTCAATTCTTCCGTCCAATTAGGAACATCTTTAATTGTCACCTCGAAGCGACTGATGATAGCCCACGATCAATTCGGCTGTGTACTATCACTTGTATGTGTTACGATATACATGGATGGCGTCTACGCATTATGCGTTACGATGTACATGGATGACGTCTACGCTGTATGCGTACGATGCGTGGATGACGTCTACGCAGTATGTGCGTTACTGATGACGTCTACGCATGCCTTTGCATGCGCCTGCTTCTGGACATTTTACAAGATCTCAACAACGATTAATAATAATGTTATGTGATAGTGTGTAACCAGTACACGTTAATGATATCAACTGTTTGTGGATACGAGCAACGGTATATGGTTCGTCACGACACCAATGAATGATAATTAACTATTGTGCTATCCAATGTCACTGCCACGATATCAAGTATACCTGTAAATGACATTCTGTGAGTTTGCGCAGAAATGTGTTTACCTCGCGAAAGCGCAAGTACATTAATGATATCCATTATTTTTCGAGATACGGGAATGAATACATTTTTATGTATTTGTTTATTTATTCAATCGACGCATAAATGTTTATTGATGTAACGATGTCTAATGAATGAATTCGTGTTCATAATAATCTGCCTTAATAAAACAATAAGTTGCCTATAGGCTATTTAAGAAGAAACATTATTACGCGGTATTATCTATTAGTATCATCTGCGTAAATTACCCGCCTGAGTCAACCAAATCGTGTTAATCAGAATGTCAGACCTAATCAAAATATTAAGTTATGACATCCGGTTATGAAGAAACATTCGAGCGCGGTACGATATGATTATCGTCTGCACAACTTACATCCGTCCAGAGTCATTCAAATAGGGCTGTCTTATCGAAATACTGTACTAAGTCATGTCTCTAGGTTATGAAGAAACATCGTGTACAGTATTATATTATGATTATGCGTAACTACCGCTTAGAATCACCCAAAGATTTAGTAAATGAATATGAAGCATTAATTTAATACCAGTCGTCTGCAGCGTAATCAATCATCGTGACACACGACAGCGCATGATTTTACAGGTAAGGGGGTTTGATATAAAGTGATAAAAACAATGTCACGAAAACAACTAAGGAAAAATGATCTGCCTCTAGGCTTCAGACATAGTCAGCTGCTACAGATCAATACATACATCGTTGAAGTACCTGCTGTCTGTCATTAATTCTGAAAACCCCTCTACAATTCAAAAAACATTTCTTGATCTAAGCCTATTATAAGCCTATTCAGTTGAAAACTCAACTTACTTAAATAGGCCTACCAAGGCAATTCGACATGTTCATGTTTCAAGTTTGTTTAGCATCATAGACAATGTATTTAATATGCATTTTATTTAAATATGCATTTAATGGAGTTTTCACGTAGTTGCGCGCAATCAAAAATGTGCCTTCGCTCCTCGATGTTAAACTTGTTCAAATTGAAACTTATTTAAGGTTCGTTCACACTTTACACAATTAAAACGCAAACGCGTTGACGCAAACGCAGACCACGCTAACTCTAGTGTGAAAAGTCAAAGGAGCCGCACTGATAGGCCAATCACATAGAAGCCCGTAATCAATGTATGCCTGCAGTATATAGTCTGTCTCTTATACACATCTAGATGTGTATAAGAGACAGTATATATACACTGTATGCACGGTTGTTTGGAGGAAAGAGAAATTTGGCATTTTTTGGATCTCCAACTGGAATTGTAAATTGTAATAAATTATAGTTAAAAGCACAAAATATTAACTCCTTCCCAGTTACCGACCACTCCCATTAAGTCCAATTAGGCCTAATGAAAAGCACTAGTCACGAAGCACTAATGTGGAAAAAGATCAGTGCTACGCCCTCAACATCGAAATCGTTTGAAATGAAAAAAAAAAAAAAAAGATCTCCGAAGAAATATGTTTAATAAACTCTAAAAATTTGAGTTCATGATGCACAAGGTCTCTATAAATTGTAAATAGGCCTATATCATGTGAAAGTGTTTCCATCATCGTTGCGTTAATAATAATAGGCCTACTGAAACTAAGAGCATTTTAAATGTATTGTGTATGTTGGGAGGGGTGTTACATTGCAGAACATGCGATGTTACTCATGTATAACAATTAACTAAAATTCAGCCTATAAAAGCTACACTTATAAAAAATTATTATTAGTTTAGCAATACGAGACGTTACTAGGCTAACCAATAACGGCATTGTGACTGCTGACCACGAGTTGAATACCCGGTACATACCCGCGTATAAGACGCCACCCCCACCGCCACCCCCCTCGAGTTTGAGAACATTTTTCATTTTTGAACGATTGTAGTACGTCGGGCGTATAAGGCGTTCATTCAACTAATTATTTAGTATTTTTTTTGTAGTACTGTAGTATATTCGCGTGTTTCGGACGATCCGCACAAAAGACCAACATGATTTAAAAAATCTAAAATTTATGTCGCGCGTACTCCTGTTTTTCGATCGTAATTTGCTATTTCAAGCCTCGTATATAAGCGAGTATATACGGTATTCTGATTGTAATTTAACTATTCATGTTTGAATTTGGTAAGCATATTCTTCAATACATCCATTGTGGTTGTCGGGTAGGTATAAGTATAGATTTGCCAAGAGAATGTGTAATGCGAATCTATCAAATCGTATTGTGTTCCGGACAGTCATCAGCAGCAGCAGCACTGCAAAGTAAAACTATACCTCTCGAAATACAATTGAAATTAATGAGTCAGGAACAGACCTATTATTTACAAAGTTATTGTTCC